GTGTACAAAACAATGAACCAATGTAGGCATTGCAGCAGTGCGGACTGGTCAGGGCGGTACAGGTCAGCGAATTTCATCCCGCCGGCCGAAGGCCGACGAAAAGCTCTACCGATCAACACCCACTTTTACAAATATTGCAGGCAACTCTACAGTTTTTCCCAGCCCCGCGCATAAACTTAACCCCTACCAGCTTGAATCACTCGGTGAGGCCCTTAAGTGTCTAAACCGCAAGTATGCATATAAAAGGCCATAGTTCACAGAAAACGCGCTGTTTTAAGTCATGTTTCCTACAGAAATTGTCGACACTCTCTTGACTTATGCACTTAATTATTTTAACTGCAGGGCAGTTTACTTCGACATATCTCAAAGTTTGAAATATGCTATACGCTTCGGCTGGCATAAGTTAGCAAGTCGAATAAGAAGGGAAAACATTCAAGGCCATTCTTTTAAAGTAGCAACCCTAAAATCAAAGAAATGGACATTGGTCGGACATGGGAATATGAACCACGTACCACAGATGACCTTGTGCTAAATTCCAGAGGTTACATCTAGTCCCGTGTCCTATCACCAATCCTAGAACTAAGCCTGACCCCCTAGCCGTAATTCCAGCACTAGCCCTCTTAACCCTAACACTTATCCTGTCCCCTGAAATTTGCGAACGGACCACCTGGAATGCGGGGCACGTTCATGTTCCGATTCCCTACGCAAATAATTTCAAAATACTTTTAAGGAGCAAAAAGACAATGACCCTGTCAACTGATACGTCTTACGTAACTCTTTTTTGCCCTCACAATTATTTCCTGTAAAACGGAAGTTACTTACTTCAAATTTATGCAGTACTAGAGCTCAGTCACTCCCCCTCGAACACGTGAATAAGTAAAAAAGCTACGTCAATTAAATCTCGGGAGGCCAATCGAACTTTCTTTAACGTAGACATTCTTCATGAATTCTGATAATGAAGCTGCTGCCGAGCGACTGTTTTTTCGAAATCCCTAGGAAAACCGCCAATTACCAGAAACACACTTGAGCCCCCTCCTGAAAAAGGATATTCTGCAACCTCACGGACGATTTAGAGATTAAATTGCCTAATTCCTTCTTCCAGAAGCATATTCTAACGGATGATTTCTTGCCCCTAAGTCCCATTGGTAATTCCGTTTTCTCGGTTTTACTGGTGACCGAACAAGAAACTTGGCAGGTATTTCTTTCATGCTATCAAGCTAACCCCTCTCCATTGTCGTACTCTGGAATGAATAACTGGCTTCTTCAATAGATGGTTTCATGAAACTGCTTACAGCTTTGGTTCATTCATACAGCAAATTTACCTTTTTGTAAATTTTGATCATATACTGACCTTCACTCATTACAAACGTAAAAAGCCTATATTTCTAACAACATAGCAAAGAATCAGGTCGACAAAATTTCGTCTAATTCACCATTTGCGACTGCGAGGCTTTTCAATATTTTACCTCTGGATTTTTCGACCAAAGGTTTCTCAAATGCTTAAAGTCCTTATTCAGCGCAAGCGTAGTAGCGGATTCGGGGTAGAGATTTGATGGGATTCTAAATGGGAAAAATTATTTTATATAAGTATTCTTCGGGAATCTTCACGATAGTTAAGGATGCCTAGGGATATTATGGGGGCCAAGGGAACTTATTAATTCTATTATACTTTCTCGTTTTGCTACTGTTTTAGAAGTACCTGATATACATGCCCAGTTTAGCGTAGTTTCTTAGATAATGGCAATAAAAATTACTGTACTTCAATAGATATGCATATAGCGGAGATGTATCGATGTAGGCATATACAAAATGACGCAGCTTCAGCTCTGGACTTGGTCGCTCCATCTCCGTTCCTCCCCTTCCACAATCAAAGCTCGTGATCAACAACATTTGCCTGGTTCACACAAGATGTCTAACTCATGAGTCCTCTACACAACCCAGCCGAAATTAAGTTTCCGGTCTTAACTGATGGACAAGCACATGAACCCGAGGAAGCTGTTCTCACCAATTGCTTATTTTTCGGTCTGTCTTGCCCACGTGTGGACTTCCAGCTGCTTGTTAGTTTCTGACCGTGCCATGGCTTTAAGAACTTTTTATAGTAATTTAAGCATATTGTATATCTTGCATGTTCAGGTGGGAACAGTTAACTATCCGGGGAGGTATCTGTAATTGGCTCGCATGTTGAATGCGTGCTCGAGTTAAGAATCGGATATTGAATGGTCGGCGACGCAGCAAACGCGAGTGTCCAAGGAAGTAAATGGGACAAAAAGCCACTCGATCATCAGAGCAAGAATTGAACAGCGGATGTGCTACCGTATGAAGTGTTAACTGAGACTCCGAAAGGCATTTTTGACTCGAAAAGATTACTTAAGTAGGGTTGCGATATCAATTATCGTGCAGCCTAATTTCAAGATATTTCCATCATGTCAGGATGCCGGCTTTCGAATGAGCTTCTTTTCGGCCGCCTGAGGAACCCTAACTGCAAAAAATGACTACTTCAATAATATGAATTTTTCTCGTTGGCTTTCGATGCCTCCATAAATTGGAATATAGTTTATAAAAATGCATAAAACACTCATTCTTTTGCCCATCTAGTAGGAGGTTACGTTTTCTTGAAATCCTACACTTGGAAAAAGGGTATATTCAGATTTTGGAAAGGTTTTTGGTTTCAAGACGTTTTTGGGATCATGAAATGTCAATTCATAAACGCCTTATCTCTGAAATCTGTTAATGCTGCTTGTAAAGTATGCAGTATGGTCCAAATCCACTGCACAATTTTATAAGCCCTGTATGGTGTTACCCTAGAAGTGTATAAAATGTATCATTTTCTTTGCACGGTGTATATATAGCTCGTAGCTCGGAAACCCTGAATGCAAGTGCAACGACAGACCGAATCCAAAAGTAATCGGGAATTCAAGTCTCTTAAAAGCAAATCATGCTCTTTTTCCGAGTATCAGACTTAGAGAACACGTAATTTGCTATCAGAGAAGTAGAACTGATATTTGAATGCGTCTATTCTATAAACTATACCTGTATTTATAAGGATATCGAAAGTCAGTGAAAAAAGTTTATGCTTACAATGTAAAATTTGCAGATGGCCGGAATGAAGTTCGTTCAAAAGCCGACATGCCTGCATGAATTAAATATCTTGTAATTATACTGCGTTACAGTTGGCCTTATGAATCTACTCAAGTAATCTTTTAAAATCTAAGACGCATTTCAAAATCTCGATTGAAATTTCATGAGATACACATCTACTGTATTGGCTGGATGGTTCGCGCTCCACCAGTAAGCCCCATGATCCCCCGTCCCTAGTGAACGTTCAGACTTTACTGGGTAATACTCAGCAGTCACGCAGTTAGGCGGTTAGAAACCATTTCCACTTACAGTATGGGTGAGCTGAATTACTGAGTGACTATCATACCAATCAAAACTACTGGTGAAACTGCGGGCATTGGCGGACCGCACGCGCTGACCATGTTGCCAGTTTCGGGATCGCGTAGCAACTGCACTCCCCGCGGTTTACGTAACCCCTGCCTTTTACTGGCGCTGATGACGGTGTTGAGGGAGGGTCTGAGATGTCGGGCGACTCAAATTCTTATTCCAAACTCATACTTATTCTCATCAGATAGTGTTGTACTGGTCAAACTGTACTGCTCGACCTAATTAGCTGCGAACTGATACAACTGCATCTCTTGTCTAAGTAGCATTTGAACGATCGAAAAATTGGTTGGACTAGCTTTTGTTTGTCCTCAGTCCTCAGAATGATGGCCGCTGTGCTGCGATGAGTGGGGGTCAACACTGCTCGTTGTGCGCGATGGTCAAGCTGTGTTAATTCTGTGTGAGTCTTTAGCTATTGCCCTATCAACGTACGGAATATGTAGAAGGAACTTTTACAGCATCCCAAGCTTTGTGCCTTACCTCGCTATCCGTCGACGGAAATGCTCGGATAGTCCACCGGGGCGCTGGAAAGGAAAGAGCTATTAAGCTCCACCCTCTCGTGCATTAAGGTACGAAGCTATTACTTTTTGACAAACGAGGGCGCTGTGAGGCGGCAGTAAGAGGTTAGAGGAAGGATGTTTGAAGTATCAAAGAGTCAGATCGACGGCTGCACAACGAAAAGTGGAATCGAGTGTGAAGAGACCAAAAAGATGAGGTGGAAGCCGTCTCCAAAATATCGGGAGTATTTAAAATCTGCACAAAAATGAGGTGGGGGCGCCGGGCGGGGCCACAAACCGCGCAGTTAGAGGGTTATTCCAGCGCTATAAGGTAGTCCGACCAAGAATTACTGAAGCGCAGTACACAACATAGTTCCTGGCTCGACCTCGGTGGTAGATAAATTCCAAATTACTACGAAAACGAACCAACAAAGTTTATTCCTGCATATCACAGATTATCATATATGCATTTTTCTAAGATAACGAGTGTGTGTACCAGTATCGAAGAGGTTGAATAAAGTATAACTAGGCGACTACACTAGAATAAAAGTTTAATAAATAAATTGCGGATCCTACACGATCACATGAACTGCATGGTCTTATCACCCCTAATGTAAGACACTGGCCAAAGTACGTTTTCTGTACAGGCTTATGCACATATGCATTAATGTATTAACCGGCTATCCATTCTTTGATCCAAATAATAACATTTGATGTGATACATGTGGTCTAATTCTGTTACATCTTAGTCCAACAGAGGCCACCATAAATCCACTTCCCCGTTGGCCTACTTTTCCGAACAGAACCCGAGATATTTTCATACGCGCCAGACTGAACAGGGTCCAATTATCGCAACCAACAAGCATTAATCACGTTCGCTTACGTTAAAATATTGGTTGTTAAGCCAAACGAATACTAACTTGTTACTGGCCACCCTAAGACCCAATCTGATTGGCGTTGCTTCTCCCAGGTTATCCGAAGGAAGCAGCGCTCAGCAAATCCGTCGCTGAAAGCACTCGGCAGCGGTTACAAGACGGGACGAATGCGAGCCTTAGGCAGGGAATGAACGCTGCTGATGTTAACAATTCTGGCATAGATGATTCACCGCCCCGGGGATTGCATTTGCGACTGCGACGTTCTCTCGGTCGAGGTGCATTCGGTCATTGCTACGAGGCTCAAGTCTGGTTAACGAATACGGAAGACAACAGTGCTCATGCATCCTCAAATGTTGACCGTAATGCTTGCTCAAGTGGCGACGCTGCTGACAAATGTGTCAGCTTTACCCAGATACCGGCCTCAGCTTCGGTCCATGCTAATCCTTCAAAGACAACGTATAGTTTGAGAGACGCAGAGGGTGGACCAACAGACTGTCTTCTCACGGCTGTTAAGGTAAGACGGACTAAAGAGTCAACTTGAAAATCCTATCCGTTCATAAGGAAGTCAGACGATCAAAATTTACTCGACGAAGAGAGTCAAAATGAAAAGAGGTAGAGAGGTTCGTGTGTTAGAATTCAGTCATACAGGGCGTGACCGATCTCATGAAATGTTGGCCTAAATTCTGAAATGTGTTTTCGATTAAGAAATATTACTTAGGCAGGGTTGGAGTACTGATTGGCATGCAACATGATCCCATAGTATGTCGGGCTTGCCAGGATGTCGGCTATTGAGTGCACTTCTTTTCGACCTTCGGCAGGAACTACACTCAGTAAAAACCAACTACTTAAGTAGCATGCACTTTTCACATTGATTTTCGATGGTTTTATAAATTTAACTATATCTTATAGAAAACATGCACAAAAATATTCTTTCTTTTTCAGGTTTGATGGAAAATCCCACCTTCTTTACATTCTACATCCTAAGAAAGTGTATATTAAGGTTTTGAAAAAGTTTTCAGATTCTCGAAGAATTTTGAGCCAGATCAACCGCTGCATTGACGATCAGCGATTTCATTCTGTAAGGTGCATACTTTTCACGTAAGAAAAGCCATATATTCTTCCATGTTTTCAAAAAGATACGACACAGAGTTAACAAAACTTTCAATGGATGCGGACTATGTTGTACATTTCATGAGGAGCATTGGTAAACGGACATGTGCGATGCTGTATATGTGTACATCGCACGGTCCCAAAAACCTCATAATTAGAAACCTTATCAAAACCTAAATGTACACTTTCTTAGGGTATTAAATGTTAAGAGATGGGATTTTCTACCAAACTTGTAAGAGAAAGCAGATTTTGTGCATGTTTTCTATAAAATATATTTGAATTTACAAGACCATCGAAATTCAATCTGAAAGTGCATACAACTTATGTGATCGTTTTTTACTGAGTGTGGTTTATGCCGAAGGTCGAAAAGAAGTGCATTTAAAAGCCGACATCCTAAAGAGTCCGAAATACTATACGATCATGTCGCATTCTATTTCCTAATCGAAAACCCATTTCAGAATTTCGGCCATCATTTCATGAGATCGGTCAAGCACTGTAAATTTTACTGTAGTTTACAGTGGAAAGGTATTTCAAATATTGATGCAGCCTTCTTTGGACCGGCATAGCATAAATAGGAGAAATTCGTTGAAGGAAGGCAAACTGACAAAATAATTTCGAATCCACCGGCGATATCAGAACCAATGTTTTTCCGGCGAAGCTTGGTTCTACAGCCCCACTTTATTGATACCATGTGGTTAGCTTTCTAAAACAATATCAGGCAATAGACCTAACTTGGCCTCTCGCTGCCCTGGGGATGGAAAGAGAGCGCAAGCAGAACTGAAAACTCGCGCTGGGAAGCAAATGAAGGTGGCGCGTACATACTCACCCCCCGACACAACCGCTCGTTGAATTAAGAGGATACGGGGGGGGGGCAATCACGAACGGGACCGCGCAATAGTTCGCAGTTCATGGCCACTTTAGTGGAACCGTCTGAGTTCCACACCATCTGAAGACTTCCATTAGCAAGCCTTCTTAACTACTCGCTGGATTAAGAAAATAATGAGGATGAAAGCAGGGCTCGAAGCACGTACAGGGAAGCGCATATGAACTGATACCTGAAGTAACCGCAGCTGGCATATGAGCACTCCCCCCTCCGTGGCACAGTCACTTGCTAGATTAAAAAGGCAAGGATGATGCAAATACGCGATATTTATAAAGCCAGCTTCCTCGCATCAACTGAATTCTTTTAGATAGCTTACCATATAGTGATACTCAGGTGGGGCTGTAGGACCAAACCTCGCTATTTTTTCGAGGAAAAATGGCTGTGGGTGGCAGTTGGGGCCAGTTTCTCTACTACGTAACTTTGGTGGTGGGGGAGGGGGGGGGCAAATCGCAGATCCCTACACCAAAGCCCTTTAGAGCATCCAATGACTTGATATTAACGCTGGCATATTTGAGTCTTCCTCTTTTACTTCTAGCAATCTATTTAAAACATACAAAAAGTATAAAAAGAAAAGAATTCTTGTCCACATCATTTTTTATATCTTCTTCGTTTATAGTAAAGAGAGTTCTTCTCAATTACAAGCTGCAAATTCCGTTCATGAGATACTGATTGATGGGTTTGGTCTTGAGTAGCCAATGGTTCACTCTTCGGAAAAAAATTAATTTTCTCGAATTCGTAGGCACTCGTCCAGTTCCCTGTACTTGAAAACACTTTTCAAAGATAGGATTCTCTTCGACTAAAATTGTGTATGTCGGACATGTGTAATTCATTTTTATCTGTAATGCGATTTACTGTACTGAGAGCAGATGTAGTAGCTAAAAGTCCAGACATGTGTTTCGCCAATATTCTGTCCACATGACAGCTGCGAGGGGGTCGGCTCATGAGTAAGCCTCCAGCGTTCCCTGTGTGCATTCTGGGAAAATTTAAAAGCTGAAATCTCAGAACTGGAGGATCTGCTAGAAGGCACATGGGCAACGCTGGGGGTTTACTGATGAGCCAAATCCCTCGCAGCTGTTATGCGACAGGAGAATATCGGCAAAACATTTGGCCGGACTATTAGCTAATACAGTAAGTTGGGCTAACCCATGAAATCTTAACAGAAGTTTCAAACTGCGTTTCCGTTTCGAAAAGTAGGGGTTGTAAAGCCAATCCTCGTGCAGTATACTTCTATAATAATTCAGTTACCACTGGATGCCGGCTTTCGAACAAACTTCCTTCCGGTTGCATCCAGTACCATACTTTCTAAAAAATGACTACTTAAGTAGCATGCATTTTTCTCATTGATTTTCGGTGCTCCTGAGAAGTTCAATTATATTTCATGGAAAACATGCATAACATATTTATTTTCTTGATCATTAGACAGGAACGTACGTCTTCTTCCAGTTTTACACTTAAAGGAGGGGTGTAATTGGGGTTTCATAAACTTTTCCAATTCCCGAATAATTTCAAACCCGACCTGCCGTTACACTTGCATTCAGGGTTCCCAAACTACAAGCCGTATAATTTCCGCGTACGGAAAACCATACAGTTGGGTTCATAAAATTAAACAGTGGATATGAGCCACATTGTTAACTTTAAAAGCCACATTGGTAAATGCAGATACATGACGTTTTATGAAGGGCCATTTCACGGTATTAAAAATCTCACAAGTAGAAACTTTTTAAAAACCGAATTAAACCCTTCCTTCGAGTATAACCTTGAAAGGAGACGTAGTTTTCTACTGAATGTGCAAAAGAATTAATATTTTTATGCATGCTTTCCATGAAATATAACTGAATCTATAAGGGCACCGAAAATCAAAGAAAAAATGCATGCCACTTAAGTATTACTCAAGTTAAGTCGAAAGCCGGCGTTCTGGGGTGACTGAATTATTACAGAATTATACTGCACGAGGACTGGTTTTAAAACCCTGCTTAATTAGTCCTTTCGAAACGGAAACGCATTTCATGAGTTGGCCCACTTACTGTACCTATACAGTCAGTCCCGTAAATCATGCAGCAAATGTGGACTGCCGGCCACCTTCTGGCACTTTATGAATATAACGTGGCTATTACGGTGTAGTTGGCGGAGTTTGACTCAAAGAATCATACTTCTTTCTTGCGTAAGTCCATTAAATCCAATTCGGGTTGATTTACTCCAAGCTAGCGACTAATGTCCGGCGAGATTAAAAACCTAAAAACTAATTCCACCTGTCTTTTTCTTTTAGGTCATATGGGCGGAAAAATATAGACAAAAGAGACTTCTGATTGAAAATGAAGTACGTCGGCATCTACTGTTGGATCACAAGAATATCCTCCGACTGTTGACCGCCTTTCATATTCCCGGGGACCAGATATGCTGCCTACTACTTGAATTATGTCCATCAGGCTCAATAGTAGATATCATGAGAATCAACGGCAGTCTAAAAAGAAACTCGACCAACTTGCGCCCTCTACGACAACACATTGTGGGATCGATAACTCGGGGTCTGGTGCAAGGATTAGATTACCTACATTCTGTCTGTCATTTGGTTCACAGAGATATTAAGCCGACAAATATCCTGCTCTCAGGTGATCTTCAGGCGAAGATAAGCGATTTTGGCCTGGCCTGTTCAATAGAACAATGCAAGACAGAGAAGACGTGAGTAACTCGCATAAGGATACTGAAACTTTCTATTTTGAATCCGACTTAGTCCTGAGGTATTATTATAATCGGTGAAAGTGCTGCAAGTATATATAAGGAATTTTTGAATCATTCCTGCTAGTAATAACACTATTTAGTGCTTGTGCGTTGTAAATGACAAGTGCTTAAACATCACACTTCAGATACCTTCTTCTTCTTCTTATTCGAAAAATTACTTTAAGAACATGATTCTTTAAAATCTTCGTTAAGTATACCGGTTTATATACTGTCCTCTCTGCCGCAATCCAACTAAGCAGGCAAACACCATATCAAAAACAACCTGAGCAGTGCTGATGTATTTAGTGATGAGCCGAAAAACCGCCTGCACGCCCCAGGTGACAGCAGACAACTTCGCGTCTGAGTTTTTATCGGCTATTTGTATTGGCTGTCTGTTAGAGCACTTATGTTTACTTACAAAACACACTAGTTGCCAACCTGAGGTATTGCAATGGATAGTGGTAGACTGACGTAGGCAAGGTCGACATGTGAAGTGGTTCCATGGCTTCTGAGTTCTGTCACTCGCTTCGAGCTTGTTTGCATCAAAAAGCCGATAGACCAGTGTACGCCTCTTCCTGTACACTACTTGTTATCGGCTTGCGGACTATTATTTTGACAGCGGAAGTATTCCGCTCAGACGTTTCCGGCTCAATTGAGGCCAGAGCTCACAAGTTTCGCTCCATTTAAGTTATTAAAGTACTGGTCAATTCCAGAACGCTAAACGATAAGCGCAACTAAAGTCTACAGGAGAGTAACTTTAGTAAAACATACATTAATTGCAAAAGGACTCACGCAAATTAAGAGCACACAACTAGGGCTCGAAAATTTAAAACAATATACTTTACTGAATGGATAATTTTTAGTAAGGCAGATGCGTTATTAGAAATTTTAGTGTTGATCATAGAAATATGGACCCATTGTATTGCAGCTTGTTCTAACCTAAACTAAAAGCGGGCTTAAGGTTAGGCTTAATATAAGGGTCCGGAGTTAGTGCGTGGGGCAGGGAAATAATGTTGCAAATTAGGGCTCTGAGCATTAGTGTTAGGGTTATAATTCAGATTACGGCTCGGAAACAGGAATGGAAACCCCTCGAAGTCTAGCGCGTGACCATCTACCGTCCGGGAGGCTCATATTCTCGTGTTCAACCGAGGGTATTTTGGACTCATGATGAATCGGAGCCAAAAATAATCTTTGCGAATGTAAATAGTCGGCCTATGCCTACAGTTTGAAAGACCAGTTACTCCGGAACAATAGTAGGTAGTTTCAGCAAATTTGCCGCGGTTCCAAATGCCAGGGTCAAGTGGCTAACTGTTCATCACAGTGACTGCAGGGTGTAGACAGCCCACTTTTGCAAAAGGGGAGGGCTTGCATCGTCCTCTGCCGGCGGGTGAAAGCACATAACCTGGTCCTGTAAGACTTTGTCGACAAAAAAGTAAGACTTGGTGTTGTCAACGTAGTTTTTGCTGTCAGTCAGATCAGCCGGAATAGCAGTTGAGAGTGTCTTATTCGTAATCTGCCTTATCTATACAGGGCACTGGTCATGCACAGGTCGTCGAGGGAGATTTGCCTGCTCTACAGAGGTAAAAGTACGCATACAGGTAGGTTCAGGAAGCTCAACTCGGGGCGCAGGAGAGGCAAGTGTTGACAGTACTCATTGAACGCTTATGAATTTTATTCATCTATTCTTTCCGGAAAAACGGCTGGATGAAACAGTTTGAGTCCATACAGCGTACGCCTCTCTTTGATGGCCACTTTTAAAGTGTTACAAAGTACATGGTTCCACGCACTCATTTTCTTATCATAAATTCTTTCATAGGTGTCAGTGAAGGGCACACTGATGTAGCAATGCGACTGACTCATTTTATTAATTTTTATTTTTGACTCAGGATGGTCTAGATTTAAGTTGTCATATGGCAGACAATTTGCAGTCCTTTTACTATACTTCCCGGAAAAACGTTTAGAAATATGCGGATTTATTCTTCAGACAATACGAGTGGCGTGACGTTAATGGAAAAATTCCCAAAGTTCGAAATTTCCTCCACCATCAACTTATTTCATTAACATACAATAGCTTCTGCAAAGAGGGCGGTAAGCGGGACATCTACCAATTTTAAGTAGTTTAATATTTGCATTTAAAACAAAGAACTGGACAGATACACTGTTAACTTGATTTATACTGACATCTCGACTAGAAGTGCGTTGTCACACTAGCGACCAATAGTTGTATTACAGTTTCTTCCCTTCTATGTTTACCTAGGCGAGGACATTCCGACTGTTTGTTTACCATGGTGGGGGGCGCTCACCGATCGTTCATACGGAACTCACTCGTTCCGTTGTGCCTTATGGACTCTCTCTCTCGAGCCCAACCAGCATCCGCATAGCGGCGCATGATATAGGCAGAAGGGGAATTACCGACAAAGACAAGGGAGACTGGAATGGCCATTTCTGGTTTATTAGCCGTCGTCAGCCAGTCATACCCACCCCCGAAGTGTGGCACACCCGAGGCTCGAACTCGCGACCTGTTTGTTAGAAGTCCACGCCTCTAACCACTGAGCCACGAGTCCGTTACCCTGTCGTTTTTCGATCGGGAATATACAATGGTAAGGGGCGCTCACCGATCGTTCTTACGGAACTCACTCGTTCCGTTGTGCCTTATGGACTCTCCCTCTCGAGCCCAACCAGCAGCCGCACAACGTTTGTTTACCCCATGTCCTCGTTGAATGAGAGGTCCTACCAAGAAAAAAACTGAGATATCTGGATTTGCCTCAGAAAAAATCACGTGGAATGTAATTTTAATGACTGTATAAACACGTTCAGACGTTGATCATGGCTCGAGAAGTAGAAAAATAGTGAAAGGTCGATTATTATAAGTACAACTTCCTGTGTTTCGAAGAAAAAATTGTATTTTCCCCAAAATGCATAAGGAAAAATCTGAGTACGACTTTTCCCGTAAGGTATGATCGAATTGATAACCTCATGCCACGACAATCAAAAAACCTCATGCTGCTACTTTATTAAACTACGAGTTACGCAGATGGTTGGAATCGTGTCTCAATAGACACCAGCATATTACCATGCATGAATTAACTCGGGGTTATGTTCCATGATAATTATTCTCGAAACGTCACCAAGGTGCGTTTTCTGTGTGTAAATTATATGGTCTGATGGATCGAAGTCCAGATATGGGATCGGACGCAGGTGGGTGGCACGCGTGAGCCCGCACCTAGGCGTACCACTAAACCCCTATATGAGACCTATGTTATGGATGCGCATCTCCCATAACGTCCGCCGTGCCCTTATCTGACTCCGTGGTGGTCCAGGGCATTTACCGCGAGGCCCACTTAAGGGGAGCCCAACTCCCAATGTGTTGGGCCTTTAGATTAACGGAAATTTCGTTCTCTGTAGTGATACTGTTTTCCAATTCGTGGACCGCCCCCGTGATATAGCAGAACTTCTGCGCTCCGTTCCTCCAGAGAAGAGTTTTCGCAGTCCAGGCATTAAAACACGGAAAATATACTATTTGCAGAATCACCGCCTGTCAAACATTAAACTTCAGCTTGGAGAGTGGGTCTTTAAATAAATGACCATGGCTTTGATTTCTCTAATCTTTAAATGAGTAGAGCTGCCCCTTGGAGCCGTCTGACTCGTCAATGTCATCAAGAACTCCTACTTATTACTAATGAACGATTTCTGTTTGCGCGTTACCAAAGTTGAAGACGCCTCTCTATTTAAGGCGTAAAGTGGGCACTCATTATCTGCCAAACAAACTAAATCGACGATTTTATCAGCTACGATTAGTTTTTAGACTTCCAAGTACTTTATCTAATGTTTCAGTCGACTTCATGGGAGAGATTTACTGGAGGTCTGACGTTTCGAGTAGTTGTTTCGTTTAGCCATCTTCAGAGACTGGGAAGTCATGCGCACAGCCCTCTATGGCCATATAAGGAGAGCTGTGCGCATGGGGTAGACGAAACAGCTATTCAAAACGTCAGACCTCCAAAGACCCCTCCTGGTGAACGCCTCCTTTTCTTTTGATATGCCACCTGGGAATCGCACTTTCACTACTATTGATTACTTGACTTTCTAGCCGTAGGGCCGTGAATACTATACTATGAAGGTATGCTTTACCCAATCGTCGCCTAGCCACAAGCACTGGAGGCCTTTTTAATCCAATACTTGGTTTCATAGGAACTCCAGCTGAAACTTGGGTTTTTGCTTTGAGGTACGGTACAGGCAACTCGCCCAATCATTTAATAGCTAATAGCCTGTAATTGAGTGGCATCCTTTCGGCTAGCCCAGTGGGCAGGGAAGCGGAAGTTGAAGTCCAGTCAGATGGAAAGATTCTGTGCTGTGTTTGATAATTTCAGAAAAATAAAGGGTTCACGCAAGCAGGTTTATTGGAATGCTGACGTCTCGGAGAGCTTGGTCGGTTCGCAATTGGCAAAGATTTTCAAAGTTGGGCCAATATGAATTATTCAAAATCTGCCAAAACATCTATGAATTACGTGAGCCTGGTAGTCATCTGGTGGATTCTAGGTGAATTACTTGGGAAATCCTGCTTGGGCAGTCAAGTTACTGCATCACATTTGGTGGACTCCAGACGTTGACCACAATTTGATTAAATTCGCGTCGTTCGGTGAGGCCTCGTAGCTCAGATGGTTGGAGCGTTGGCTGTGCCAAGGCCTCCCCTTGTTGTTGTGACTTCGAATCCCACCGAGGCGCCGAGATTTTCACAGTTGGGTCAATATGAATTATTCAAAATCTGCCAAAACATCTATCGATTGTCAAAGTGTAGAGTGCGCTTAATCAACCGGAAATAAAAATAGCGTCTCGTGCTGGTCGGCCTCGTGTTGATCGATTTTTCTCTCCCCTCTCTGCCCGGCCTTCCGGGAGATGCTGACAGGCTTTTAGCTGCGCGTTTTGTGAGTCACCACCTCGCGGGGTGGGGGGGGGGAGGGGGAGGTGATCGAGCCTCTGTCGAGGTTGTTCTGGTCGCTCTTTTTCTTCCTCGTCGAGTCGACTTGTCGCGCTGCCTGTGCGGCCTTCTTAAGTTCTGTGTTGTCGTCTCGTCTTGAGCTAGCAAAATGAACGTAGTGATGCTGGACTTTGTAGGCTGCAGAATGGTCCAGATGCCTATTGCTGGAGTTGACATCTGGAGATCACGCCTCAAATGTTAGCCGTTCTGCCTTTGAGTGTTCCCTTTCTAAGTCGTTAGCTTCGTGAAGATTGAAAATATGACCTGTTTCTCCAAATTACGTCTCAATTTCAGAGTTTGGATCAAACATCCGCGTTGTGTTGGTAGTGAATTTCCATAAACACTTTGCTTGGAAGCTGTATATTAGCGAACTTCAAATCACGCGGAAGCGATTGACTCCAGTTGAAACAGCATACGTGTCAAACCTCCACCGTAAAACAACTACCTGAGCTCAGTGGAACATTTGCCTGAAAAAGTCATATCTATAGTCCTGTGATCCCAGCTGACGCCGTCCACTTGGTGCACGTACTAACAATTACTAAGTGAATAGCAAAAAGGTTTCCTATGCCGGGGCTCTTTGTATGACCGCATTTTTTATTAAATTAAACCATAAAAGATTACGTATGACTGGAGCCGTCAAACGACTTCGATATAAGTAAGGGCACATTTCTACTTGACAAATCAAGATAGACACTCCGGTTATGTCAAGAAATAGCAGATCAACTAGGTCAACATGTTCCAAAATTAAATGGACTTGCGTTCTTGAAAAAGAAGAGCGATGCACTGGTTTCAACACGTAGCTTCACCTAAGAAACTACAGCTTTCTGTGGCTCTACAACCACTGAAAATGCTGCATACTTACTTCACGCACTTTTATGAATATTGCAGTGGAAGAATACTGAGTTATACGGAAGGAAGAACAGTCGTTAGTCCGCCTGCACTTTAGTTCATTGAGGGAGAGCTATTTCTTTCAGATTTCTTCGCTAAAGCGCTTTGTATTCTTATACTGTTTTGTCTTACTGAGTGCATTTTTTTCCTTCCAGGCACATTTGTGGCACTCCCAACTATCTGGCCCCCGAGGTCTTCCTGCGTGAGGGCCACTCGCCGGCCTCAGACCTCTGGGCCGTCGGCGCTACTGTCTGCTTCATGATAACAACGGGCCCGCCCTTCATACCGAGTCCAACAACACCCGTCGTGCTGCCGAATGAGGCGGCTCCAGAGCTGACACTTCATGCGTCCCCATCTAGCCTCCCGACCAGGGAAGTGACTTCCGGACAAACAGACGACGCGGAACACAGGTCTCGTTCCGTACGCGGCATTTTTAGAGCAGTCCTGTTGGGGGAGTACAAACTTCCTGTGGACAACGCCACGGCTGCGGCAGTAACTGTGGTTCGGGGGCTTTTACGTCGTCTGCCTGAAGAGCGCCTCACTCCCAAGGACATTCTTGCACTTGACCTATGCAGGCTACCTGAAAAGAGGTGCGTACTGACAGTTGGGCACACCGAACTCAGTTTTATTTACGGTAACATTTTGTTTGGTAGTCCACCTGATGGACACAATACTGCTAGGGTTGGCGTTAAAGGTTAGAGGCTATGATTAGGTGTTATGATAAGGGGTTACGGTCGGGGCTTAGGATTAGGGGTTAGGATTAGAGGTCAGGGTTACGGGTTAGGGTTTAGGATTACGGGTTATAGTTAGGGGTTAGGGTTAGAGGTCAGGGCTAAGGGTTAGAGTTTAGGATTAGGGGTTATAGATGGGGTTAGCACAACTATTTCTCAACCATTCAAAGTCCAACCGCGCATTCCCAATGGCATTTCTTTTGCATACAACTACTTGACCTGGTCGCTGTGCGTTCCCCGGCCCCACCTGCAAAAAGCTCTATTACAAACGGCCCCGTATTAGAGGTGACTGGGGTTTGTTTACATCATGTGGGGTTACATAAGCATATCCGACCTTATTTACTGTCAGAGCTTTTTCACACTGAATGACTGGATGCGGTTTGAGTGGTATGAAACAAACTTAGATAGAGCTCGGGGACTGACGAGCCCTACCAGTACGCTTTCACCCCGCCGACCTGTCGTTATTTTGTCACTGAGGCAGTTGGTTTCTTTGTCTTGCAGGATAAAACAATCAGCCGAAACATAGGTGCACTGCATATGAAGGCCCCTGTGCTTGTCTACAAATGCTTTCGAACAGGCTTCTGCCTCTATTCGTGTAACTGTTTATTAAAGGCAGGGCGTCATTGCAAACAGACGAAGAATTCACTTCACCCGGTTAGACCATAGTGTGTGTACCCCCTTCCCCCTGAACAAGACTACATGCAGTGTGGGAATGTTGGAGGTGAAGCATTGTGTCCTTAAATAAATAACAAGTAGAAATCGCGTTTGCGCCGCCTGATTGTGTTTATGTATTAAAAGAACACTTTGTATGATGATAGTTCAGGGGCACATCTATCTGTGCACTGCTCTTTCGTAAAAGGCCATGGCGTTCAGAGGTTCTCAGTATACTATGAAACATTGGCCTGTAATCGTCATATTTGGGCGTAAGTTCCTCACAGTCTATTTTACTTCAGGTCCCCAGAAAGGGGATGTACGCAACTGTATGGAAAATGAATAATTCTTCTGGTCCATTGGTACTCGTCCTCGTGGTCATCTAGACGCCTTGTCGTCCCAAAACACTCTACAGGAATGTCGGTAAGATTACCGTCCACTTTGCATGTCAGCGTCATTGTGGTCTCATATCTAAATCAGCAAAATCTGTTCGCAGCCAATTATCTGCAGGTTAAAACAAAGGAGAGAGTGCACCGATCGGGCTCCGCTAATACCTTGAATACTTTGGCAAGCATGTGTTTAAGTAAATGCAGTTTGTGATGTAAAATATTTCTTTAAATTATATTAGTGATTTTTCCATTGAAGCAGAAGACGGGTTTCTAGGATGATTTTTAGAATGTGAATCGATCGATGAGCTGACAGTTGTATTCGCCTGACGTTTCGGATTCATACGCGAACTTGTCGTCAGAGACAACAAGAGATACGAGTAGTGAGCGCACAACGGAGGTAGTATCTGTAGCGCGCAGTCGCTATTTGATCCCATATCTATCAACAGTAGCTGTCTCTGCATTTACCATAAACGGTTGTGCTTGGTGTGATTATTCCCTGCTTGCCTGTATCTAGTTTGGTAATTGTCGCAGTTCCATCAACAGTGTTCGACATTGGCATGATAGTATCAGTTTTCGCACACGCACTGTCCTGTCGAATGACCCTCAGGTGGAGATTTGACGTCATTTCTCCACCTCGCTGTCCGGCGCTAGGTCATCAATATGCACGGAAATCCCCCATACTGTCTGACGTTGTTACTTTGCTCACAACCACGCCAAATCCGGTAAGAGACTCCAGCCGTTTCTGCTGTGGCAATGGGAATTTCGACCTCATTGACTGACGTATGATTGTTATCTATGGTCAGTGGCGATCACTTATCATATAAGTACTCAATATTACTAGTGATGAAATTGCGGCATTCATGCCACCGGATAGGGGTAACTGAGCAGTCATCGCACCAAGTACGACCGTTTCGCAGGCGGCAGGAGCTGAGACTCATGGCTACTGTGTCTTCTATAAACCACAAGCTTCCTGAATCCACTACCTTATCTTTTCCTGGCTCTGATGACGTGTCCCTGAGGGAGTCCGAACATTTAGGTGAATAAAGTTTTGATTCTGCTTTCCAGTCTCCTTCTTCCCTTTTATGTTTTAACTTGTCGCATCCCGTTTACGGCCAGGGCATGGCTGCCTAAAGGATATTTTTGCGGTTTGGGAGTGGCACATATCCCGTTACGTCCTTTCGTCGAAATGCGTAGCTTTTATGTAAAACACAGGTTAAATGAGTAATTTGCTGAGTTTAATGGGTTAGATTAGACAATCATCGCATCTTTTCAGCCAAGCAACATTTATCTGGCCGTAGCCTGTGCGTGGATTAGTATCTATATGACTGAACTGGCAATACGAATCCACGGGATTTTAGTACATTGCCAGCCATGCAACGCCCAGTGTAGCTCATGAAATGTTTGCCGGATAACCGGAGGGCGTTTTCCGTTGGAAAGGATTACTTATAGTGACGTGATTATCTCGCTGCATAATGCCGAGACATTTTAATCCCGACAAAATGCCGGCTTTTGTTTTTGTCTCCAGCCGCGTGTAAAAACCCGACCTGACATAACGTATACATTTTGCCATTTATTTTGGTACCCTTACACATTTAAATTTTTTATGCGGAAAAATGCATAAAATGTCTACTCCAGGTTTTCATTCTCTAGAAAATTACGTCTGTAAATCTTATACCCGAGAGTAGGGTGTCTTTCCGTTGTAGGAAATTGTGTAATTATGAGATGGACATGACTATGAAGTGTCCATTCAGATGGCTGATGTGTCTGTTGATCAGTACTCCCTGTAAAGGACAAACTGTGGTCCACGTGCATTAAAATCGCATGAGTCCTATATGCTTTCTTCTTAGTGACATAAAGCAGTGCATGATTCTCCTCTCATGGAGGACCTAAACCTTGTACGTTAGTAACCCTGGACGCTGGTGCGATGACTGGTTCAGTACAAAATTAATTGGAAATTGAAAACGCTTTCTAAAATCAAAGTTAACTCCTTCTCGAGTAAGACGTTCGGAGAGGACGTAAGATTCTACAAAATAATTACAAGCCCAGATATTTTTATGCTGTTTTATACACTATATGTTTAAATTTGTAAAGGCGTCATACAGCAATATGCAAATAATTCCTTCTAATCGAAAACGGGCCTAAGTTATTCACTAAACACTTTATGAGATACGCCACCTACAGGGAGAAGACCGCCTGGTTATTTAAAAATCCGGCAACACAGGCCATTTACCAGCCGGAAAACCGATAGAATTGTTGTCATCCGATTACAATTGAAAGTGTGCAGTTGCATCTTCTACGAAGTTTTACATATCAGCTTATAACTCGCGAAGGATAACAGTAAGGGTAAAAGAGTTGCCGGCAGCATTTTATTACCAGACTTATCACGGTTGTCTGTTTTGCCTTTTATAGCAAAATGCACTGAAAAAAAATAATTTCACTGCATGGCGAGGACAGTCGCAGTCCCTTATCTGGTACAGACAGAGCGGTAGTAGGGGGATATCTCGGGCTGAAATGATTATTTTCCTGCTTCCATCTCTAAATTAATTTTCTTTATGTGAGTTTTTCATGCCCCTTTGTAAAATTTCTGCAGTTTCAATGTGCTCAGTCTATCAAAGAATTCCTCTGAATTTAAGCATGCATATAAGCAACACAGTATTCCATAACATGTTAATTTTTTGCAAAATCCTTTTCAGTGCTAAAACTGAACTAATTTGTTGTCTTAAAACTGCATCTTCCCATGAAAAATAACTGCGCATTGTGTCATGAGGGGGTTGAACACCCAAATGAGATCATAGGTTTATATTACAACTAGATCCTCACCCATTTGTCATTTATCTAAGCAGTGAGCATCCCATATCAGCATTTTCTTCTTGCTTTAATTTTTCAACAGTTGGGCACAATTAATTTTGAAAAACGAAACGGCACCAAAACAGCGTCTACCTAACCACTAACATTATTAATAGTCGGACATGCGAAAACTTATTTAACCGAAACGCTGCTCCCCGCTGCCTTATTGAACAAAACCGGTTTCATCGTTCTATAGCAAATAAAATAGTTGAAGCCCGTCTGAATTAAAGCGGGTAGGGGTAAGGGGAGGTAAAATCAGCTCAAACTTTATAACTAGAAAAAACTTGATAACTCATTTACAGAGAACCCGCACTCAAGAGCAATAGAATTCTTTTAAGTTACAATATTTTAAGTTCATTTCCAACTGTCATACCCCGCTACGCAGCTCAAACAAAGCCATAAAAGGAGCCGCGAATTTTGATTTAGATCTGACAGTCGATATAACGAAACCATGAAATGAGAATCTGCAGTGTGCCAAAAAATTTCCTGGAAGTAATAAAAGAACGGGAAAGCGCGTTCTCATTTTGTGGGATGTAGACTGAACGGACAAGAACAAAGTTCGCGAATTACGAAGGTTATAAGAAATGCACAGATTTAACTAAAACCTACGAACTTGGGCTTTTTCAAAATGATGTTATCTTCAAGATGATAAGCTCGCTGTTTGCCTTTCCATCAGTCTGATTTATTTATAACATCGGGTCATACTGCACAAAAGTTAACCAGCCCAAGGCATCATACGATGCACTGTATTCGTTCTACTATAACCCGTTTACTGCTTTATATGCACTCGCTCGTCCGCGTACACTAGACTGGAAAGAGTAACCCAACAGTACGGGCTATAATTATGCCGCTCACAGTCACCCTAAGCAAGCGCAGAGCAAATGGCGAAAAAGGCATCTCAACAATCACCCAGTACATATGCTGACAAGATACGTCGGTCCTCCTGTCAGGCTTCAACAACTTCTTCTTGGTCTGATCTTAATGGTGCTCCAAAACAGTTGAGATCCGAGCCGCCTCCTCCCAACCTTTTCTTTATGTATGAGACCCTGGTCCTTTGTGCACGGACCAGGGAGTGTGTGGCACTCCTAGGTACTGGTTCACTCCAGGCCACACACAGGCGCCCGACCCCGCCTTCGGTCTTCTCGGCAGATGCAGCGCAGCCCAACTATTAACGTAAACTGATTCACGTGCGAGCAATCGGTTTTACGCTTGTCTTGCTCTAAGTCGCACAATGTACATTGTAGTAAACAACGATCTAGCTGTCGTGTATTTTGAGATTATGTCGAACTGGTCCTCTTGCGTGCAATACCCATTGCATACGCACTAATGCTTTGCTACTGAAGTTGAGGAGACTCAGAATTGATTTTATGCAGCATTTAAGGTTAGAACTGACATATTTTGGTATGGACACTTAGCTGTTCAACTGTTTACTATCCACAGACTAGACTACAGAGGCCTCTTAGGACATTTACAGTTTTTTTTAGACTTTTGCCTCCACGTTGGAAAGTTATGACTGGCAGTCAAAAGAACAAATCACAACTCTCTTCCAAAGATTCTGCTCTTATAAAAAAATGGTTTCATAGAATTGTTTGACATTTATTCCCTACAAACCGTTCATAGTCCTCTGAAGACTTCTGGCACCGTGTACGTTTCAAGTAAGACGCTAAAATTTGTTATCCTAGGCGTATAATGCACAGCTGCATCAGGGAGCGACAATTTCGAATATGCCTTCCTGATTGTCTGTTGTGCAAATTGTTTATGCATGTTATGGCAGACCAGACGAGCGCAGCTATTAGGTGCAGTTTGCGCCTAATCATTCATTCCACATAAAAATGTGAATTATCGTGTGCCCTCGATATTTGAGTTCTGAAACTTGAATACTCAGTGCAGGAAGGGATTTATTGACAAATTGGTGAAATGTAAAAACTGAATATGTTATACCAAAGTCCAATAAGGGACTTATTAGATAATAGGTTGCTGTATTGCTCTTTTCAACTAACACCAAGCATATCGTGCCAGAATTGTCAACTCAGTTTGCACGACAATAAACTTGAATGTTTTTTGATCTCTCAAGAGAAGGTCTGGCAGTTTCAAGCATCGTGTAGAGGTTGAACTGCTTGGTAGCCTAATTTTTGGCTTAACCCATCCTGAAAGTAAGCATGTCCAAAAGTTATAAGACAGTTGAGACATAGAAACACCTTTAGGGGCGTATCGAAAAGTGTCAAAGTCGCCCATACTGGAACTACGCCTGCCAGATTTACAGCTTCACATTAAGTGCACGACCCTGCTCAGAGCAAATAGCACGAAGCAAACATTAAATCTTTAGAAGCTTTCACCGGGACTACCAACGCTCGTGAAGGAACATTGACGGTGAAACGGCATGTCGCTGGGAAAATATCGTTACGACTTATAGGTTGCAGCCCTCTGTCCTGCCTGCAAAGTGACAGTCTGAAACACTATCCAGAGGATTCTTTAGAGTTGATCTAAGTTTGCTGCACGCGGAAACCGTAAAAAAGTACTGAAGACGAAAGAGTATGCGGTCGTCTAAAGTTGGTTTTTAATAACTTGCTGCCTTGAATATGCTCCATTTTCTCTTATTCACGCATTTTCCACCTGAAAATGCCGCTAGCTCCTCCACTGATACTGCATCGGCCACCAAACTCCAACAGTTCTCCTCAATGCTGTCTGCCCACCGGCTCCAAAAAGTTGACTTCCCCAGGGCCCAGCAGTTTACCGCCAGCTGTCAGTTTGCAGCTTCTTACTCCACTCCGACCGTATTTGAGACAGGCTGTCGACCAAATACCACACCCACAACAGAAGAGGATGAGTTGACGGGAGCTGCCAAAAAGCTTTCGACCTCGTGTTCTTCCATAGCCGTATTTTTCGAAAATCCCGAGGATGGAGCATTGGAGGACCTCTGTTACCTTTCGGTCTCTGCTTCCCAGCCCTCTCTGTATGGAAATGCTTGGTTACACGCCGAAACTTCGCCAGACTGGTCACAGAGGCGGTTCCGATTTGATCAAGCAAAGCAGATAAGTGTCCTCACGGGCAGCATGAATATTTTGGTAAGGAAGGCTGCTTGGCTCAAATCAAAAAGAAACCACGTTTGAGTTCTTGTTCTGGTACATATGAAACCCATCCCAAAGATAAAAAAGGTAGCTGAAACAGCGATTTGACGAGCGGTTTATGGCGACAAGAAAGTACATAGATGAGCTGGCTCATGAAATGTCAGCTGAAATTCTAATATGTGCTTAGGGCTCGAAAAGATTACTTCAACAGGATTGTTATAATAATCACCTTGCAGTATAATCTCAGGATGATTCAGTTACTGCAGAGTGCCGGCTTTTGAACGAACTTCTTTCTGACGGCCTGCAAGAACAACATTCGGCAAAAAATGACTACTTATGTAGTATGCATTTTTCCCATTGATTTTGATGCCCTTATAAATTCGAATATATTTCATAGAAAACATGCATAGAATATCCAATCTTTTACGCATTTAGTAGGAAGTTACGTCTTCTGTATATTTTAAACTTGAAGGAAAAGCGTAATTTTGTTTTAAAAAAGCTTGACGTGACGATTGCTTTCAGAGTTCCAAACTACAAGCAGTAAATTTTCCCTCTACGGAAAAGCATACATTTCTATAAGGTTATAAAGGAAATCATATGGGGTTCATAAAATTTGGCAGTGGATTTGAGCCGTATTGTAAACTGTATAAGCAACGTTAGTAAATGCAGAGACACGACTTTTATAAACGGGCATTTCACAATCTTTAAAAATCTCATGATTACAAAATTTCTAATACCAAATTTCACTCTTCCTTCAGGTATAAAATATAAAGATGACGTAATTTCCTATCAAATAAGTAAAAGAATGGACATTCTTTGCATGTTTTCTACGAAGTATATTTGAAATTATAAGGGAATCAAAATCAATGGGAAAAATTCGTACTATATAAGTAGTCATTTTTTGCCGACTGTTGTTTTTGCAGGCGGTCAGAAAGAAGTTCGTTCAAAAGCCGGTACCCTTCAGTAACTGAATCATCCTGAGATTACGCTGTAAGATAAGTAATATTACAACCCTGTTTGGGTAGTCATTTCGCGACGAAAACATATTTTAGAATTTTGGCTAACATTTCATGATTTAGTCCATCTGTGCATCATATAATTTTCTGCTCGAATTAGCCATTTAACATGAAGACGGAAAACCGTACATCCGTAGTAACTATTCAAACTAATAACTGATCGAAACTCCTATTCTAAGTCAAATGCCGAAATCTCAAGACGGAAAAATCGAAGCGGCATGACTGAATGCTGCCCGCGCTGGACAAGTCCTCACTCTAATCCTAAGTCTCAGACTTGAATGACTTCTCTCCCCCTCGCCATGTGCACCCTCATACTAGACCCATGTTTCATGTTACCTATTACGTTTTGTCTCTCTAGGTCGATCATTGATTGAACAGTTTGCCTCGTCATATAATTATACAATGACCAGAAGACGAAGATGCAAGCACTTTTATATGCAATGACCGTGTGCAGCTGAATGAGAGGTAGAATGATATTACCGACAAAGGCAAGGGAGACTGATTGGGCTCGAGAGAGTGTCCATAAGGCACAACGGAACAGGTGAGTTCCGTAAGAACGATCGGTGGGTGCCACCTACCATTGGATGAGAGGTCTCGAAATTTATGACGTCAGTAAATACTGCATGCTTTGTCGCCTTTTTCTTAGAATAGCAAACTGACGTACAACGGTTGGATGGTTGAATCAGAACTGCCCAGTCAATAATCACGTTCAGAGGAAATTCTAACCTGACGGTATATTTAGTGTTTTTCCTAATCAAACTATTTTAGACTGAGCTCGTGGAAGTTTCCTACGTTTTAGGCTTCATCACGCAGGACTTTCCACGAGAAGATAATTTAATTTTTGGAAAAAACTACGCTAGCTTCTTCAAAATGATCTCCACTTTTGAAGACAGAACAATTTAATAAACTTTAGAAAAACTTGTGCGAAAATTAGTTGTTTCTATTCAGGATGAAATTACATATTCTGTAGGTTTACAAAAATGTATCTGAAATGACGTCGAAATGAGTAGCATCAAAAATCCCATTAGTGTGAAAATTCAGTATTGAAAAAAAACATTTTAGAAAGAAAATTAGTCTAAGCATTAGAAAATGCCAAGGTAAAAAGACTGTTACATTTTTAGGACTTTCCAAAGTTTTTCCAGTCTATTGGAATTCAAAAATACGCCGTAGAATAAATTGGTAGTTCCGAATCCAGGGAAATGGGCCTGTTAAAGATACTGCCCACTTCATGCTGACAGCTTAACCATCGCAAACGACGGCGTTCATCGTGCGCTCCACGGAGTGAGAGCAGGTCGGTGACTTGTTACTTAACTAGTTTACAGTGAGGAGACTTGAGTGGCATCAACCGCACTCTGTCCTCTTTTACCCACCTGGCTCCGACAGGAAGGCAATACGACGACCGTAGGTAGGTGCGGGCGCAGTGATTGAAAATTAAACAGCCTGTCTGCGACTACTGCATTTTACCTGGCTCCCACAGTACTTACAAGTTTTAATGAGAGCAATACGGTTATCACATGCATGCAAGTGTCAGGAAGACCACATTAAGAAGGATCGACTACAGCCTCACTACCAGTCCTGAGAAGGACAGAGTATACCGTCATTTGGGTAATCTTTCAAGCCAGAATATTAGCGCATCGCGATAGATTCAAGCGCGTCCAATTTCCCATAATGACAAATAGACAGGTTTTGGGTAATTATGGATTCTTCGCTTTAAACCTCCTCCAAGTTGCCTGTCAGAGTCTATCAACTGGCTGATGCTGAGACCAGGCGCAGCTGTTGACGCGGAGTGAATGCCTACGTCTTGGTGTACCGCCACACCCCTCCCGGGTGCGGCAGTACTTACGAGCTCGTGTGGGCTCTGCCTGGCTAGATTAGCGTGTGCAGTGAGGCAATCTGACTCTGGTTTTGATCCAGTGCGTAGCCCGTTTCGAGAACCACTACTCCATATCACCGAGGGAGTCATAAACTGTGAAATTTTTTTACTATTATTCCAGCAGCACCAGATACGAGCATTTCATATGGCCGTTGAGGGCCAATGCAACACTTTAAATGATTCACCATGGAAGTTTGCGCATCCAAGTTACTGACAGTCCTTTTTTGTGTGTCTGAACTACATAGGGTAAATAAACATCTCCTATCTCAACATTGGCGCTGACAGAAATGTCCAGTACAAACCATGCAACTATGAGCAAATCCGTGACAAAAGGCTTTTGGCCAGGACAGTTACACTTCAATAGGACGCCCTCCGAATCCATATGTCTTCCAGAGTCACGTACATGACGAGTTTAAAAAAAATTCATTGATACTTGCCTTCCTCCGTCCATTGTTTTGTCATAATTCGGTGAGTAGATTGAGAAACACAAATGCAGGCCAGCACACAGAAACCAAGCCACAATTTCAATTATCGGCAAAAAAGTGAGCCAGTTCCACTAGTTGTGGTGAGGTTAATTTTAAATGACATGTTTCTTTAAGTCCTCTGAAAGGGCTAGATGCCACCTTTCATTTTCTGCTTGTGAGTTTTAATTTATTCAAAATGGAGGAGGCGTTGTTACGTAGTCAACTGCGCAGGTCATTCGCAATAGTTAGGACAGGTTTAGCGGCCTAAATCCTGATCGGCCAAACGCGACCGGTAAGATCAATTCGGTAGTAAATGACAAAGAAACTGCGAAATATCATCACTGGAAGGGATATTGTACGATAAGGCAAAACATTTAGCGGGAAAAAATAATATCAGAGTAAATGGCCTACGAAAAACCAAATAGCGAAAAAACGACTGTGTTTATCCTTTTTCCATATTTTCATATTTTTTTCATATTTTCAATTTCCTGTAAAAAGCATGATTATATGCAGGACAACGATATGCTCGACTCTCACAACGCGTGTAACCACAGCAGCTGGATGGACAGTTTACACCTCTAAGCGATGCTTTTTGTCCTCAACAGTTTTCGGTCGCCTTCAAAAGAGCGATAATTGATGGCCGCACCATGTTTTCTGGTAGCTTATTCCAGAGGCTGATGAGCAGTGTATTCAAGATTCTCTGCCTAATTCTCGTCTTTGATTGCTATTTGAAACATTCGAATCGGCGTTCTCAGAGAATGTAGTAATGACTGAGCTAAAGGATCAAACCCCGAGTAGCATTGTCGGTAACACGAATTTTCTCGGATTTTTCGATGAGAGCAGCATGAAACGACATTTGCTTTGAGGTAATGCGATGAAAATTTCGTAAATAATACGCTGCTGGCAGATGTTCCAGGCAATAAAAAGTCGAGTTTTGGCACCCGGTTCTTCCTAGAAATTTCGCCTCACGGACGAGTTATGGTGGTCAGACCAACAAGCAGCATGAGGGTTAAGCAAAAAGTCACATAAACAGCGTCCGCACGTCATTCAGTGGGAGTCTGGAAGCGCCTTCCTATAAGGAAGAGGTCATTGCATATCTGTGTAGTAGACCCGGAGCTTTGCTCCCAGGAGGCAACTTTTTCTGAATTAATCATTCTCCGCGTAACAACAGCCGCGGAGGCAGTTCGCAGAGTTGTTGAGTACGCACAAACCATGACACTCGAATTTCTGAGCCACTGTCCAGACCATCAAGGAGGAAAGAAAATTCTTCGCGATCATATTCATTGATTCTACTGGTAGGAGGCAGCTTGCATTCAGGGATAAAGCCAGACTTGCATAACCAATTAGATTCTGTCGTAAACTTGATTATACAATGGTAATTTATGTCCTCTTCATATTTTCCCTTGGTAATCATTTGTTTTCATAATTTTTGCGTTTTATCATACTTCCCTTTTTGGCATCCTTATAACATAATTGAAGAGACTGCTGCGTTCTACGAACTTTACTTTCCCAGACGTGGAAGTTTTTATTACTGTGAGTTGGAGGCTGATATCTGGCCTTTCCCTTATTCAAGTCCATCGTTGGAACTGAATGTAACACAAAGACTTTCTTCGCCATCTGTTGGAACTATGCAACAAGAGGTGACAGCTAAGGAACAGTAAATATTTATTGTCATCGATGAGTCGAATT